AGCAGGTGTTGAGCTTTGTTTTGTTTTCAGTGTAGATGGTGAAACAGATGGAAATGAAGCACTGGAGGATGAGTGAGGCGAGGGTTTAGGAACTGTCTCCGAATTGCAAATCAGTCCATAATATACAACAACATCGATGGGATTGTCTGTGTTTTCACCTAAATCACATCACATACTCAGAAATCAGGCATTTATTTATCTTTTTAATGTTGTTTCAACAGTTGAATTACAAACATGCTGTATAATTTCGGGATCTCTGTCCTCATGTTCGTTTATTGATGGTTCCTAAACCCTCGTCCATTTCGGGGAATGACTTGTTTTGATTGGGATTAGGATTTAGTACAGTATATTATCTGCTTTTCTGCACTTGACAGGAGGTGATGTTTGTAATTTCACTGAGGCAGATGGTTTGTTAAGAAGTGAGCGATTCTGGCAACTAAAAATTTGTCTAACTTTTCTGCTCTCAAACAGAATGACGTCTGTTTGCAAATCTGTGCACACAGATGAACTAAACTGGGGGGGGGGTGCAGATTACAAATCCGTGTGCACGGTTTAATAAACCGAGGAAAGCGGATCTTATGACCTCAAATTTAATGTCTGCTGTGACACAACACAGCAATCGTAAAGGAAAATGTTTTTATTACACAACTTTTTCAAGTGAGTATCTTCAACTGGGAGGCATTTTGGGGTGCAAGAAAAACTTTGTGGCCTGTACTTCACATAAACTTCAGAAAGTTCCAGCGTAATTTGAATCTAAGAAAAGATTCCAACCAAGTGGGATTTTCCTCCGCTCTGTTTCTGTCTCAGAGATCTCAGGCTGTCGGAAGAGTCATTGGTCATAACTTGGAGCAGATTTTCATCTAAACTCACTTTTAGAAAAATATGTAATTTAGTCTTGTGTCAGCTGTGTCAGTGGAAGCCAGAGGGAAGCGTTGAATCCTGAATAATCTGCTCAGAGACAGACTTCTGTCCGTCGCAAATCTCCAGAGTGCGTGTTATTAGGAGATGGCCAAGACTTTCTCTACCAACCCAGAGCTGGAAATAATGGCTGATGAAAATCACCACGAAAAGTGAAAGACTGTCTGTATGCTGAAGTAAAACAGCTCTAAGTTGTTTTTAGTTTCTATGTGCTGCTTTCTGTCATGATTTTACATGACTGTGCTGCTGCTACAGAGAGAYCAGTGATGCATGCAGATGATTTGTAGCCTTAAAGGGATAATTCAGATGTTTTCAAGTGGAGTTCTCTAGTAAAGTAATGGACAACTAATATCTTTCCTGTATGTCTTCAAACAACCTCAGTTTAGAGAAGCTGAGTTAAATTCTGATTGGACCCACAAGCTAATGGCTAGTCCCATTTGGGCACCTGAATTGAGACTCAGCCTGTTTCATGCAAACCCTATCCTGTGTTACCCTCAATTTACATTACTTGCGTTCCGTCTCCGCTCCGCTCCAGCAAATACGCACCCATTCTAATCAATGAGAGTGTTTACACTGGCTGCGCACGGCTGCGCAGGGCGGCAGTGAGCGGACGACGATCCGTCAAAATTAGAACAGATCCTATTTTTGCCGGATGCCGGAGCAGCGCCGGAGTCAACTTTTAAAGATTACGTCGCACCAACAGGAAAAGACACGAACACAACATCTGTATTTTCAAAATAAGACACTATTCGGTGGAATAATTCGTCGGAATAATGTCGAAATTACAGCTATATTAATAAATATACGGATATACTGTATTTCTACACAAATGCTGTCAGAATGTATTGTTCTGTTTGGGAAGCAGATGGAAACATGTAGATGAAGCATATGTGTACACACACGATACACGTGGATTTTATTTTGAAATCAGAAGTTTCAGAAAGCCGACAACAAGACAGCTTCAACATAGATATCAAAAGCCTTTACATCGTTGTTTTCAGCTGTGTTTGGAGTTAGTCTTTCACAGAATTAATTATTTTTTGCTGTGACTTCTACACTTATCACTGAATTTATTGAGTGATCTGCTTCCTGCACGTCTGTTGGAATGGAGCGGAGCGGAGGTAGTGTAAACTGGACTTGAAACGCACAGCGGAGACGCATGCAGTATAAATCCAGGGTTATCCTATATTAGCATCATTGTCACTTATAYATTATATAGGGTTGTCAACAATCTGCTTCTAGAGCATTATATACAAGAAAATATTGAAATCTCTTGTGGTAGTACATTAGAAAAAAGGCAGTCAAAATGTACCACTGTCTATAATATGAGCTCCCAACTTAATGGATGTTTTCTGGGGTTCAATTTCAAGAGCAATGGGTCTCTCCTTCCTTATAGGCCTATAGCCCCTCTGACTGGATCAAATCAAATTTACAGCATGATATATACTGCTGCAAAATTTACATAAATAAATGTATAAGACTTTATTTAAACTTGTATAAATTTCTTAAGCATGGAACTGACAAACATTGCACTTGAAATGTAAATTGTAACACATTCAGGTGAATATTGACACAGGTACCAGCCATACCACCCTGAACATGCCAGCTCTCATCTGAGCTTAGCAGCTAAGCAGGGTCAGGTCTGGTTAGTTCTTGGATGGTAGAACTGCCTAGGAATGTCAGGTGCTCTATCAATGTAGGAGTTGTGTCTACATTGGTCACTAGCAATAATAGGTCATAGGTTGCTTTCAATGAAGGATGCCAAATCATCATCACAGATATCGATGTTGGAATAGATATCAATTCTGAGTATCGAGGAAATTTGTATGAATACAAAATGCTGGTAGGGAGACACCACTAAGATTATAGTTATTCTGGCAAAAAAGTACAGATGTTTCTCTTGGGAGTGCACCAGAGGGGCTGCTGTTGCTATTTATGCTTGTAATAACCATGCAGTGGAAACTTGATTGTGCTTTGAAAGTTTATAAAATAGCATGAACCTCTATGAAATAGCTGAGATCAAAGATGAGATTAGAGACAGCGACGGTCCACTTGTGTGTTCATTCTAGCTGTAAGCTTGTTGATCCCGAAATAATTAGGTCCGGTTTTTCAAAGAGTTATCCACAACATGTAAGATATTATTTATTCATCACCTTTCCAGAGAACTCCATTTCAAAAGATCTAAGGTATTGCTTTTAAGGTGGTAGTGGCAACTTTTTTTGTCTTTAACAGAAACAGGCTAGAGTTTATGGAAACAGTTTCTAGGTTCGCTGCAATTAGTTGTATTTAGTTTGAAAAACATCTGTAAAAACCGAAAAGCTGAAACTTGAGTCTAACTCTGATTTTGGATCCACAAAATTTTTTACATGTTTCTGGTTATAGTCTCGTCATAAGCTCCTTATTTGTACATAAAAGTCCAGAGACTAAAAGCTGCTTTAGATCCCCCCCCCCTTTTTTTTTTTTGCTCCTCTTGTATTATTCAGCTGCAGCGTGTTCCCCAGTTTTGACAGTAAAATCGCTCTGGCGGCACCTCGAAGCAGATGCTATATGTGATTCCTAATTGGGCAAAGCAAATGATGGCGTGTGCATCTCATATAAAACTGAGTCTACATGTAGAATTACAAGAATAAACCGAGAWAGTGGAATTTACTGAGCTACTCTCGCACTCGTTTGGGAGCAGTGATGTTTCCACCTTACATGTGGAGCCAGCTTCGCCCTCATGGAACAGCTGGATGAAYTTTCTGGAGTGAGATAATTCGTCCTGGCTTCAAGTTAGTATTTTTGCAGACTTTTTGTTTCTTTTCTCAAACAAACCACACGATACCCCTAGAAATTTATAACCAACACTGATCTTCAGGCTGTTTTTGTTTGTTTGTTTCTGATTTCACTTGCCCATTTTCTCCTAACCTGCACTTAAATAAATATGACAGAAGGCAGCTCAGTTAACAGTATTTGTTTTCTTGTTGTAATTTCCTTTTAAGCTTTATAGCATTACAGATAAATGCAGAACTTTGCATTACCCTCCTTGTATTTTTTTACATCCAATTTCCACACATTAAACGTGAAAAATAGATTTGTTTTCACACTTTAGAGCACCACGTGGATTAACTAACTCCACATCTGAGATTTGTGGTGTTATAGCCTTTTATGCATTAGAAATGTGGTAATGGTAATACAAGAAAAAAAAGATTAGAAGCTTATAGTCTGAGATAAAAAAAAAGGACAGGAATAATGCAAATTTTACTGGTGGCCGCAAACAGAAATGCATAATTTATTTTCTTTTACTATAATAGCATTGTCCTGACTTTAAAAGCATTTCCTTGCTGTCTCAAAATGATATATCATGTTTTTGTATTTGAAGGAGCTGTAACAGTGTAACAAAAGTTTAGGTAATTAAGGCTAGGTAATTATAAGAGCTTATGCTAGATCTGGTGTTAATTAGAGAAGCAAAGTTTCGAATTTCACATTTTGCAATTTAACCTGTTCTTTTCCTCCCAAACTAATGTGAGTTCTCRCTCAAGCAGTCTGCATTTGAGCAAGAAAAAAGCATTAATGTAGAAAACGAGCGCTTGAGTGCGCCACTGCAAAAGGTCGTTTATAAATATCACTGTTTTATATAGTGAACTGGTGGCGAAATGTAAATTGTGGACTGAAACACATACGTTATGATATAAGCACTGGGCCTGATAATTGCAATGATTTCCCTCAACAATATGCCTTGTTGTTTGGGGCAGCGAGCAGAAGTCCTGTACTAAATCTCCATACACTATAAAATCACTCAAGGGTGTTTATTGTGTCTAAATAATGAATAGACACAGCCATTCCAAGTTGACAGTGAAAAATTTCTGGTGAACTCCCCTGACAGAATGCATTACACAGTAAAATAATTTAGCCGACCACAAAATAAAATGTATGCATCACTCTGTTCTTAAATTAATTTTCTAATTCCGTCGGGGATAGTTATTTTACAGTCAGCGTTTTACAGCAGAGAGACTGATAGACTGATAAAGAGAGAAGACGAGTGAGTCAATAAGTTATGAGGCCCGTGTCTAATATTCTGCTCTGTCTTGCTCTTGTTGCAGATGAACATGGACATTTGAAAATATACCTGCCCAAGAAGCTGCTTGAATGTCTACCAAAATGCACGTCGCTGCCGAAGGAGAGACACCGGTGGAACACTAATGAGGTAGGGACATCGCTCCTTATCAGTCCTGCTCGCTCTAAATCCATCTCTGTACGGAGATATCCTTCCTTTCCAGCAGACAGGCCGCTCTCAGAGGCCGCTTTTAAACAGATTTGTAAGTCATTTAAGCTCTCCTCGAAACGACGTAACGGCAATCTGTGTGATTCACCATTTCAACAAAATATTCTAACAGAAAACMAAAACACTTTATGTACTCACATCAGCTATAAGTGTTAAAGGGATCCCATGATAAGTTGTAACGTTAGACTTTATTTAATAAATAAATATTTTAACTGTAAAATAAAGACTGTAAAAATACTGTAGGCTGTTAAGTTTTTATAATTTTTAAACTAAAAGTTTAAAAATATATTACACGGATGGGRCCATTTTATTTACATGCAAAGCATTCTGGGTGAAGATGACATCAACTAGGTCATCGGTGCGAGGCTGCTAGCGAGCTATATCCACCCTGAAGGTTAATCTTGGACAATATCTGATG